TCCCTCAACCTTCATCTAGAACCCATTTCATCTCTTCAGAACCTACACCCAGAACCTATTTTATTCCCTCAGAACTTACATCCAGAACTGTTTTATTCCCTCAGAACCTACATCCAGAACCTACTATATTCTTTCAACCTTCATCCAGAACATATTTTATTCCCTCAGAATCTACATCCGGAACCTATATTTTCCTCTCAGATCCTACGTCCAGAATCTATTTTATTCCCTTAGAACCTATGTCCAGAACCTACTTTATTCTCTTAATCTTCATCCAGAACCTATTTTTTGGAATTCTGGAAGTTGAAGTCCACTCATCTTAAAAGTTGCCACGGTTGAGGAACATAGCCAATGTGAGTCTTTTTCTAAAACTTCCAACCTTCAGCACCTATAGTTGTCTGAACAGGCTCTGGATAGCTTCTCCAAGCTTATCTCTGTGGTTCCACTGAACCAAATTCAAAGAAACATGGAGAAGGATCAGCTGGCTTCTCCTCACCTGCGAATGGAGGAGCTGGACTCTCTCACTGGCCTCCGTCAGTTCCTGTTCTGCCAGTTTCCGCCCACGTTCTGTCTGCTCCAATACACTGCGTAGCTCTTCCAGCTCAGCCTGCAGCAGTGTATTCCGCCGTTCCACGATGGCGATGTTCTCCTTCAGGTCCTCGTTGGCTCGAAGGGCATCATCCAGCTGAATCTGATTGTCCTGGATCACCAAAAAACACACAGCATGGAGCAAACCTATCGACCCCGAAAACCAGGGATGAGTGAGGAAGATCTGAAGGGTTCCATATCTCCTTACCTTGAGGTGGGCATGAGCGATCTTGAGGTGCTTCTGAACTTCAGCGGCCACCCGATTCGCTTGGCTGAGCTGGATCTCCATGTCGTTGAGGTCGCCCTCCATCTTCTTCTTGATCCTCAAGGCCTCATTGCGGCTGCGGGTCTCGGCATCCAGGGAAGCTTGGAGTGAATCCACCATCCTCAGGTGATTCCGCTTGGCCTGCTCCATCTCCTCGTCCTTCTCGGTCAACTTGCGTTCTATTTCGGCCTTGATCTGGTTGAACTCCAGCTGAGCTCGGAGGATCTTGCCTTCCTCGTGTTCCAGAGAGGCCTGAGGAATCAAGGAATTATGGGAATCAATCAATCAATCTTTATTATGCTCAACAGGCCAGCAAAGAATTATGGGTAAAATGGTGAAGGAAAAAGTAAAACAAAAAAAAGAATAGTATTGAGATCTGGAAGCCTTCTTAGTTCTAGATTACTTTTCAAGGAGACAACCAATCTAGAACTAAGGAGAAATTTCCTGACAGCTAGAACAATTAACTAGTGGAATGACTTGTTTCCAGAAGCTGTGGTGTTCCAAAATCCAAGGTTTTTGAAGGGATTGGACAACCATTTAGTATAGATTCTCCTGCTTGAGCAAGGGGTTGGACTAGAAGACCTCCAAGGCCCCTTCATAAAGCATTGGCCCATTAGAAAAAAAGTGACTCTAAAAATTACCTCAAATTAGAGTCGCTTTCTTTCTAATGGGCCAAGGCTTTATGAGTTAGCAGCTTCCTTCCTTGTCCTTTTTTTCTAAAATTCCACTTATTTTTTTTAATGGAATCTGGGCTGTGGAATCAATGTGATATCTGCAGGTTTGTTTTTTTTACACAATCTGGATTTGCAGTGTTGTTTTCTTTTAAAAGGCAGTAGAAACAGAAAATCTTATAGGGATAGCACTGTGAAAATACTTAGCTCTCCTGTGCCTTTTATTCCAGATTCTGCTGTTCTCTTTAGCTCTTTTGTGCTTTTAATTAAATGCTTCCTATTCCAGATTCTGTTTATCTCTCTTGTGCTTTTAATTAAATGCTTCCTATTCCAGATTCTGCTCT